GTAGAGATGCTCGCTGTTAATTCTTAGCTCCCAGCATGCTCGGGTTCAAACTTCGAATGTCGTCAGAGGCAACATGTACGTAGAACGCCACTCTTCAGCTATTGTCGAATGATATTTTTGTGAGAAAAAGACCAAAATGTTAAAGAATTACAAAGGACTTCTGAGAGTTGACAGGTACCTCAAAATCGATTTATACGATTGCCTGGGAAGAGCCAAGATTATGGAGAAAAATTTAGAAGACATGATCAAGCACAACATTCCTTCCCCTCCTCCAATATTCAAGCCATGTCCACCTAAACCTCATATATCCTCTAGTGCTACTGTAGATGTATTTAAGAATCAGGAGCAATTCACAAAACGTGCATCCCTAGATCACTCAGATACTACTTCAGTTGACAATTGGAGGAATAAAGGCACTCGAGATCATGTTTTTATTGATGATTCGTCTGACGAAAATTCACCAGTAGAACCACCTCCAAAAAATACTCTTAGTACAGAAATCAAAGAAGATCGTTCAAACGATGATGATGCTCCATGCTCATCGCGAGGCCCTTATAATCGAATATACAACAGTGAAACATATTTTGATGACATATCCAATACCAATAACCGAGATTGAATTGGTTCAGGACTTTCGAAGGATAACGATCCAATTGACAAAAACCTAGAAGAGGAAATTATTGAAGCTTCCGAAGAAGACCGACGCAAGTCAGGTGAAAGTGAGGTTAATACGAATGAGGTTTTACTACAGAGTTCAGGTCCGAATCAAGGGTCAAATCAGCGTCAAATTGTTTCTATAGAAAATCAAGAGAATATTCAACCAGCAAAATTTCGATGTTTCAATCTTAAACAGAATGTAAAAGCGAAATATTTTTGATCGTACCCTGGTATTTCCTATCGAAATTCTAATCCTTATGACAGCAGAAAATCGTGGTTATTGGTTAATGGTAACAAGCTCGGTACAGTGCAATTTGAAAACAAAACCTACCTCATTTCAAATACATGCCCATATGATGTAATTGTCCAAATATTACTAGCTACTGCGATGGATGACTGTTTCTATCAGAAAAATTTGGAAAATTCTCAAAATCCAACGCTGCAATTTGTACTAGAATTGAAAAAGTGTGGATTAGGAAAAAATTCATCAAAGGAGATGTACAGAAAAAGAGCAGAAATTTTTATGTCAGAATTTAGCGGAGCAGTGGCGCTTGAAACTCGAAATAGAGTTTTGAATTATTCGTTGAATTGCTGGAGTAATGTTTGTGCAGTGTGGAATGCCTACCTAGAGTCTGAGCCTAGCGCATTACGTTATTCGTCTTGTGATACATGTGAGCAAAGGGTGTCACATGTGCCTTCACTGGGCGTTAATCACAAGATCCTTGCTAGAAAAAAATTTGGAGCTCTAGAAGAAGCTTTGGAATACCATCAAAGATTATACAAAGTAAAGTGCCAACAAGATCAGTGTCCTGGCTCATTTATAGTTG